TACGTCAAAATTCTAGTTTTGACAGTCTGATTCCAAAAACACAATCCATTTTCAATTCGGAGCAGTTTGGGCGAAAAAGCACGTACCGTTTGGAGTAAATTGTTCAGTTTTGGCAAAAAGCCAAAACATAAATGATCAAATCTCTTCCAAATCACGGACCAGCCCTCCTAGCCTCACTTTTGCTCCACTAGCCACTTAAAATCTCTCCCTACATAATACTTCCAAAGTATTATGTTATAATACTCCACCACCACAATTATCTTCATTATCATCATGTCCCACCATCCTCTCATCTCTCCCCTATCCATTCTCTCTCTCTGTCGGCCATCCCTCAAGGAAGAAGAAAGGAGACTCCATCTCCATTGTTGAGCTAAGAAAGAAGAAGGAGAAATAGAAGAAGTATCAAGGTTCCCAAAATCCTGAGCATAAAACAATCAGTCCACTTGTGAGTCAATTCTAAAATTTTCCGTTCATTTTATCAAAATGTTTATTATACCAAAGTTGTAGCCCCGGACAATACAAATCCATCCCAACAAACGGCTCGCGATTTCGTTGAGTAACGAAGAAGATATGGCCAAAATACCGGGACTGCGCCAGTGGTGGCGAGCTCCTCGGGTTGGACCATTTTCTTCACCAAATTCATATTGTTTCATTCCAAGAACATACCATAAACTCTCTAACACTTATTAGGAACATCCTGAATGTATCGTAGAGAAGGTTCGGCGTTAGAATATTGGAGTTAATGAGATAATCGTCGGAATCGTTGTTCGTTAGAACATCCAAAATCCTGGCAGCAACTATGAGTCCACTTGTGAGCTATATTTGACCACTTTAAACACATTATGTTAACATGGTTTCTTCACGAAAGTTGTAGCCTTACGTCTTAGGAATCCATAAAATCAAACGGTTTGCAATTCCGTGAAGAAACGATGGAGATATGCTCAAAATACCGCAGGCTGTCCAATTGTGACGGGAATGACAAAGTTGGTGAATTTCGATGTTGTTTCCACTCCCGCTCATCCGTAAGGTTTCGGCCGATGATTTCCAGGTCTGTACCTTTGCGTTAGACTTGTCGAATCATTCATCACATACGTACATGAACATATATGTTAATCCATATGTTGAAATCATCCCAAAATATATATGTGACACATATATTAGTCATCTTTGTGTTAAGACCAAAATATACCAAATCCATAAAGTTAATATATATATATATATATACATAAGTATATATAAACATTTGAGATCAACCCAAAAATGTATATATTAATCAAAGGTGTTTTAAAGACTTAAAGAAGTATTTTTGGACACTCAAAATATCAAGAGAAACTTTCACAGACCTAAACGCTCGACGCAAAGGGTCGACCGTCGCGTTAAACTTCGAGACGAACCAGGACTGTCAGCCAAACGGTCGACCGCCGGTGGCTGACGGTCGACGGCCGCCCGCCGAGCCGAGGACCGCCTTTCTCAGTTAGTCAACAACGGTTAACCGCCGGTCAATCACGGTCGACCGTCACGGTGTTCCGAGCCCCGTAACTTATTTTAATGATATTTTTATCAGATTTCATCCAAATAAAATAAAGTATATTTATCCAATTATGTTGTTTACAAATTGTTCATATCATGTGATTCATTTCATCTTCCATATGTAAACATATCACATCATGTGCATGCGCAAGAGATCAGGCGGAAGTGCGTCTCTTGTAGTTGTGATTGTGCGGGACTTAGCAGTCCGACATCAAGGACCGGGCTTAGTGTACGTACATGGTACTTAGTTTTTCGAGTACCACCCCTATTTCTGCGTGAGTTCGTCGTACCAAATGGGCGAATCTCATAGTTCAAGGCTCGTCCTTGCTCTTAGAATCATGCATCATGTTATCATCATCAAGCACATCGATTACATAGGTGTCATGTAATCATCATCAAGAACAGGTATATTGATTACATAAGTATCATGTAATCATCCTCACAAGCAAATTGATTAAATGTGTCATCATGTAATTATCATCAAAAATTTATCATCATGAATCATCAAATTGACCATATGATATAATGTGCCATATCATGAATATTATTATACACTTGTGGACGTATATATATGTATATGTATACGTGTGTGAATCATTCTACAATTCTAGTGTGGTACCACTCAGCGGTTTCGCTGAGCGTGTAGTTTGTATTTTTTTTCGTTGACTATACGTAGGTAAGGCTCCAATGATGTCCATCCCTTGTGCTTGAGGGAAGGCTCCAATGATGTCCATCCCAAACCTTGCGAATGGAATGACATTGGAAACTGGGTGGTAGTAGGTCGCAGGCCTTCCCGGAAACTTTTAGAATACCTGGAAAATCTTGCACTTCTGGACATACCTCTCGCAATCTTGGTTCATTGTAGTCCAGAAATAACCTAGCAAAATGATCCTTTACGCGAGCGTCCTGGACATTTGGTGGGCGGCGCAGACACCCTCATGAACTTCGGCGATCACTCTTTCCGCCTCTTCCCTGGTCAAGCACCTTAGCAATGGACCACCGAATGCTCTTTTGTATAACCTTCCATCGAGCATTTGGAATCTTGGAGCCCTCAACTTTACTTTTCTCACCCTGTCCTCATCTTCAGGGAATTGCCCGGTCATGTAATACCTGACCAGATCATCCATCCAAATGTCATCTGGCTCCACTCGATCTGGATTGGCCTGTCCATCTTCTTCTATCACGTTAACAGAAAACCCTTCAATGCTGGCTTTCTCCAGCGTCTCAATCCTGGCCAGCGTGGACACATGCTCCAGGGCTGCTTGCGTCAACTTTGATAGTAAGTCAGCATCGGTGTTCTCCCCCCTAGGGATTTGCTCCATCACATACTCAGTCAGGTCCTTCAATAATGCCCTTGCCAAGTCTCTATACTTCTGCATCTTCTCTCCTTTGGCCTCTATGTTGCCATTGATGTGGCCTACCACCAAGCTTGAATCGGACTTGATCCTGAGGCATGTGATTTGTAGGGTTTTGGCCAATCTCAGGCCCCCTATCAACGCCTCATACTCGGCCTCATTGTTTGTGAGCTTGAAATTAAAAATCAAGGCATGATATACCTTAAACCCTTCCGGAGTTGTGAATACCACACCTCCCCCATAACCTTTTGGTCCAGAGGCTCCGTCGACCGACATGGACCACCAAAGCTCAGTGATGGCCCTGGCCGGTTCTTCTTCCTGGTGACCCGTCATCTCCACAAGAAA